CGCGTCTGAAAGTTCTAAGTAATCAGATTTTGCTTGTCCGTCCGGATTCAGTATCGAAGAAATGGCTTATTTCTCATGATAAATCTAAACAAGACAATACTGATTTGCATTTTGTAAATGAGTAAAAGTAGTTACCTGTCCAAAGTTTCCCAGAATTTCAATAAATTAGCGCGGTCCAGATGACGTTTCGTTCTTGACAAGGCGATTATGTTTACGGCCCACCTACTGACGTTGCCTTCCAGCTTTACGTCGTCCCACTTCAAATGGAAAGCGCAGACTACAATAAAAGACAAAATAATGAATCACTGAACATTTGATACTAAAAATGACAGACAGATTAGCATGTGATCTTTATCTGTCTCAATGACAATCGCAAAATATCTATAAAAATAACAGCGCACATGGTATGAAACCAGAAAGAACCTAGGGATTGATTAGTGGGCGTTAAGTGCTTACGCTGATTTATACAAATGCATCACATTTCAATATATCTGCAGTTAAGCGAACTGAACAGAAAGGATGTAAAAATAAATGATGAAACGTAGAGACTTCCAAGACTTCCACCTTTTATTATAGAGTTCCTATACATATATCGATAAGTAGAGACAACTACAACAGTTGCACAAATTCAGTCTACATTTGTTTAGCCAGTTGTTCTATAATGCGAATACATTTTTTCTTTCTCCATTTGTTTTATTTATTTAAGTAGCCAAACCCGTTTCAAGAAGTTTTCATCCAAAATCTTATACTAGCTTTACGCGCAGTCTAATGACATCTTATCTCCATTTCGGTTTTCTTATCACTAGCTGTTCGCAAACACTTGTATTCTATCATCATAAGTATACTACTTTACTGTCAACCCCTTATGGTGGCTTATTCTTCTGAAGCTGAAAGGCTCGTTAAAAATCGATCATCAAAATTTACTCAAGCCAAAAATCTTCATCATAAAGGCTCTAGAAATTGACTCAGTCACTGCAGATGAAACATCGAACTTTCTTGCAACAACAACGCCACAGGCACACCACAGCAACGCCACAGGCAAGACTACTCGTCCACACTGATCATACATTTATGTCTGGTGAAATGAGACTCACGTTCTAGCCGTAGAAAATAGCATATAAACTACTTACAATGTAATATTGCAGGCAAAGACCCAAAAACGTAACCGCGAGCATCCGAACATTGCCAAAAATGAATTAGACACATTGTGATTGCATCATGAATGAATGGAGGAATAAATAATTAAATACGTATAAGCAAATCTGCTAAACACATACATTAAGTAGCCTCCACCAGTCAGAGCTGAGATTTTAGACTACGACATGGATGACAACAGTAAGGGATAGGTTGGTGTTGTATACAGCTTTTCCAGCTCACGCATTACTCACATGACCGGTCTGCAACATGTCAGCCTTATGATAATAACAAAGGGCTCATTTCAAAGCGTTAAACTGATTGATGTCCAAACCAATTCCAGAGAAAAATGAAAAGTTTATACCTAAAACAATCAGACGCTCTAGTAGTTAGAGCACGACAAACACCTGTCATCGTCTGATTCGAGAACAGAACATTATGTACAAACTTGGGCAGCTTTGACGCCGCATATTCGCGACCCTTACAATTATGTGAAGTGCTTTCTCAACTTTTAGGTACCGTAAGTTAACTGTCATTGCCATTAGAAGACTGTCAGAGGAAGGGTGGTAATCCTCCGACCGAACAGGTATAGCCGCCCAATTTGCGGCAAGAGTATACCATCCTTGAGGAAGTGCAGCGCGCTCTGTCCGAAGTGCCGAATACAGACTCCCTCTTACTCAAGGGCGATTTTGATGCGCATGTCGGAGTAGACGCTGAAAAGTGAAATGGCATGATTGGAAAATGATTGAAACGGCCATAGCGACCTCAACAATAACGGCATGAAGTTGTTCCGGTTTTGTGCAAGCAGCGGACTGTCCATAATAAACATTGAGCATCGAAGAGTGATTAGTATATCTGGCACAGGGAAGGTTGTGCACAGAAGTCGATGATCGATTTGATAATCGAACTGTCTGATTTAAAACGCTCAGTAATGGATGCTCGCATTAAGAGTGGCGCAGAGCTATCAACCGATCACTACTTTGTTGTGGGCACCCTACGCTGTAAGAAATGGAGTACGAAGATCCGGTGGAAGAAGCAACCAGATAATCAAATAGGAAACATTATCTTCGGCGGACGAGAGCAAAATTTGCAAATCACATCGCACGACGGTATGAACAGATCCCGGTGATGACCCCTGACGTGGAAACCGAGTGGTGGCTCTTTAAGAGCGGCATACTCGAGGCTGCCGCTGAATGCCGCGGATTTAAACGGGTTAGCCTAAAGCCTGGAAATCAGGAGACATCTTCCTCATGAACATGAGAGGTACAACTGACAGCTAAAGAGAAGAAAGCAGCGATCAAGAAATGGCTTGGAAACAAAGAGCCTTCTACTCGCGTGCGACATGTCGAGGCACGCAAGGCGGCAGCGAACGCGGTGGCAAAAGCCAAAGCTGATTACTGGGAGAGGTTCGGTGAGGTGTTGCAGTCGAGTTTCCACACGGCAAACAAGGTATTCTGTCAGACCATCCGGTGGCTCAGAAGTAAAAAGACTGACAGTCTAAGAGTCTTGAAGAACAGGTCCGGTAACCTTCTTACGAAGGATGATGACGTTTTCTAGCGATGGAGAGAATGAGTTGGGGACTCCTAAACCCCTGAACAACCGCGGGAAAATTCGCCTATAGAGCAGCAGGGAACGAATATTTCTGTAGATAAACGAACAATTTCTGTAGATAAAATTACACAAGAAAAAGCTGCTGGAGTTGATGAAATTCGCCCTAAAATGCATTAGCCATTGGGCGAACAAGGCATGTGCTGGCTTATCGTGACTGTCAAACTACGATGATTACGGTAAAGACACCAACGGACTGGTGAATGGGAGTTGATGTTCCCTTATTCAAGAAGGGAGACCACAAGGAATGTTCCAATCATAAGGCATTACGTTATTGAGCCTCCCAGGTAAAGTCTATACAAAGGCGCGCAAAATAACTGACCTCAAGATACAAGAGCAGTGCGGCTTCCGGCCCGGTCAAAGCACCTCTGACCGTATATTTGCCCTGCGCTAGATCGTTGAAAAATCGTATGAGTATGCCCGTCCAGTGTACATTGCTTTGTTGACCTAGAAAAAAGCCTATGACCGCATCCCACGCTACAGTCTGTGATCATGCCTTTGAGCATATGGAATAGATGGCCAGCTGCTAAGGGCCATCCAATCTCTGTATTCTGATAGCAGGTGCTGCGTCAGAATAAATGGCGGTAAGTCGATACCATTCATCATTCCCACTGGTCTCCGCCAATGCTGCGTCCTGTCCTCTATCCTGTTTCTGTGGTACATGGATAGAATAGTCAGGAGCAGCCAAGTCGATGAGGGTATCGGTGTAGGAGATGTGAAGAAGAGAAGGCTGCTGTTTGCAGACAATCTTGTTTTATTAGCATTTTCTGAAACTGATCTTGAGTGCTCCCTAGAAATGTTCGCAGCCGAGTGCGATGTGACCGGCATGCGTGTGAACGCATCTAAAACTAAAAGCCTAGTGCTTTCTCGTTCTCCTGCCCGTTGCTCTTTTCAGATTAACGGAGAGACGGTGTAGCAGGTGGAGAAGTACCTCGGATTCGTATTTACTAGTGATGGAAAATTTGAGGAAGAGATCGATCGGCGAATTTGAGTAGCCAGTGGCGTTCTGTTGAACTAACCCGATCCACTGTGACTGAAGCAGCGCTCGGATTGAAAACGAAGCTCTCCGTG